CGGACCCGAATGGCCAGTGATTGTGGCCTGTTCGTGGCGTACGAAGCTGCTGCATTCGCTGGATGCCAAGCTCGACGTCTCCGCCGCCAATTCGTTAAACTCGCCATCGTCAATGTCGTCTTGGTTATTGCCCTCTGTCTCGTGGTCACTGTCATCACCTACGCTACTCTGCTTGTTCGTGAAATACCGCCACGATGCACCATGCGTACTAACTGCACCGGCGCTACTGTCGCTACTCATGACAGAGATAATAGCGAAATGCCTACTTCTGGATTGTAGCATCTCACGACAAACGCTTGACGTATTATTAGTAAAGACGTGTATTGCGATGTTTATTGTTTGAGGATGCAACCAGGCATTCCGAAATAATCATTGTATTGCTGCTTCAATACAATAGTTTACACTTAATTATTGATTTTTACAAATTGGATGACTTTGTCCAATTAGTTATTTTGTATTTACAGCAAAGTACTTTATTTTTTCGTAAAATCTAGTTTTTTCTGCTTTGTTTTGCGTAAATACGGAGCTCGGTCTCCAGACAGAATCGAATGGCTGTTAGCAACGGTCGCTCAAAACGCGAACCTGAGGCGCTCGTCTATCATTTTTGATCTCACCATGGCTCTCGCCAACACCTTCACGACCAAGCAAGTCTGCAGCTACTTTTTTACTGCCAGCTTGGCGACTTCCAGTCGGCCACCATGAAGCTTCAAGACGACAACGTAACGCTTCTCGATGTGCGCGATATCTTTGATGCGCTCATCGAGAAGCATTCCGTTGTGAAAAGTATCTTGCTGCCGACGCAAATACGTGGACTTCGAGCGAGCGTGCGTTGTAGCCCTGTCAGGCGCCGTGGACGAGCTGACGAACGACCAGGAGCTGATGTTGCAGCCATTTGAGACGGTACCTGCAATTACGACACCGGACACAAGGCACGGACGCCCACAGGGCTTTGCCGACAGAGTCTTGGCGACTAGAAAAAAAGCGGCGCGGTGCAAAGAAGATATTTGATGGTGTGCTTTTCATCCCGCCGACGTCAAACACCGTGGAGCGTCTTTTTAGTGTGGCGAAACATACTCTTTTCCACCATCGCCAGCGTATGCTGCCTATTCACCTTGAAACCGTGTTGTTCCTGAAGATGAATCGGCGTTTCTGGGACGCAAACACTGTAGCAGCTATCGTGAACGCAAAGTAATGTGCAGTGCCAAACATCTAAGTAGTTAATTTTCCAATACACTACTATTGATGTCAATTATTTATTTCTTAAGCTTTAGTTTTTGTAGCAATAGCTTATTTTGGCATGGACCTTCAATATGATTGCAATTGTATTATCGGAATGCCTGAGTGGCACGTATACGTCGACACTAGGATCGTAGACCATAGCAATCAGGCACTGCGAGAAACCTTTTGGTACCACCGAAAAGGTACCATCAATAAAAAGGGTCAGCTGAGGGTACCGTAGAATCCGCAGTAAGTCCGGATGCCCAAAGCAGAGCATACGCTGTATGCCGGCGGTGGTGGGGCGAGCCATGCTGAATTGTAGGAACGGGCGCGGGTCTGAGTCGCTAATGCTTCGCACCGGTGCAGCCTCAATTGCACGGAAAATGTCGCCACCGGTGGCACCTTGGCGTACGTTTTTGATGATCGTAACACCACTCGGACGCGCAATACCGTAGATAGTTGACGGGTGATGCTTGGTACGGAACCTATCAAAGACGCGCTGCCACAGAACACCAGGTGCAACAGCGAAGTCTTTAATGGCGCGATCTTGCAGCTCCAAAGACATGTCGTGGCGTACGTCTGCGACTTCTTCTAAAATTTCTTGGTCGCAGTGGTGAATATTTTTTTCGATGATAGTGCCCCCCTTCTTGACTACAAGACGTGCTGGACACCCAGTCCGGAACTTCACGCAGCTGAAATAGGTTGTTCCTGTCTCCGGGACGGTGCGCTTCTTGCAGAAGCGGTAGTTCTTGTGCTCCATGGACAAAGCTGTTAAGTGACAATAAAAATTAATACAGCTAT